TAACTTATGAATATACAGTAATCTGATTATTTCTATGGTGACTGAAAAAAATTAAGTAAGGAGAAAAATGAAACTTCCATTTTGTGATCTTATGTTGTGTAGGTGTTTCACACAAGGAATAAGCAAGGAGTGGTGATTCACCCAACCAGTGTGTTTGCCAGTGACCCAGAAGTGTTACAGGTGCCTGAGGGTGACACTGGAGAAATGGGTACAACCTACCTTCACATTCTTATTTTTTATTTTATTTTTTGTATAGAAGATGTAAAATAAAAGCCGTTACACAGTTGATCTGATGATACCTCTTGTCCAAAGTTCCCAACAGTGTACAAACTTTCACCTTCCTTTCTCTGTTGAGACTGATGCTAACCTTTTTCTTATAAGAGCTTTCTTACTGGCTATCAGAAAATACTGAACAAATATTTATTTTTATTTCATTCTTCTAATATATCTAGTCTCAAACCTTAACAGAAAGGGGCACTTTTACATTGGATATTTATTCCATGCTCGTCTTACACCTTACACCAGTATTGCTGTAGTAGTGTACAACACCAAAAAAATGGGGGAATAAAACCCCTCCAGCAACAATTTCCTCGAGAAATTTCAAAAACTGCTTTGTGCAGGTGAAGAATCTCATCACGTTCTTTCATCGAAACTCTCTCCAAGACAGAGTTAATATACTTTTTCATTGTTATGTATTTAATTTTCCCCATGTTTTCAGCTACAGTATGAAAGTCCCTCTTTTTCTAATTTTCCTTTATGCGTATTATGCCTTCTTCTTTCATTCTGTTAATCCACTGTATCATTTAGGAAAACATCTAAACCTTGGCATTGATTTATAAGCTTTTATAAAGATCCTCGGAACAACAGACTACGTCTTATCCAAAGAGTTACCACCTCTATGTGTTGTCTAATTTGTAAAAATCTTAATCTGTCCCTCATAAAAAGAGTCACTGTATTTGTATTTGTTTGATTCTCTTTGACCATCAGTTCACGCTTAGATGCTTGGTTGATTCTGATATTTTGAATTTTTCTTTGACAAATTAGATTGGATTGTAAATAAAAGTATTTTTGATATTTGTACAAATTTGGCTTGTAATTAGATAATGCTTTTACATTGGTGGGTTAATCTGGTCAGAATTATATTTTAAGATATTTAAACACAGCATTTCACAGATTTTCCTAAACAATTTTACATTTCACAGCCTAAATTCTCAATCAGATACCAAGGAGGAGCATTTCTTTTTCAAGGTTACTTTAAAACTAGCAAAAACAACATCTTCACTAATCTGATTTATTATATGAAACCACATTTCCTGTCATATAAAGTCCAACTTTATATGACAAAGAGAAACCGTAACCTGCTCAAGGCAATAAAGGGTCAGCAGTGCTTTCATTTGTTTCCAGTTAAACAAAATCTCTCTTTTTCCGCCCTCTGATCACTGAGTTTACCTTTGATCTTCTATTGAATATCTCACATGTCATCTGTGTTTCCTGCCTGCAGGGCCTGATAGGAGAGACAGCACCAAACACCAGCTGTTAGCCTTCGTCACTTTGTTGGAGACCAACAAACCCTATTTGTCAAACTGTGTGCGGGTTCCAGCGCTACAAGTTAGTACCTGATGTGGGATATCCCTATTTCCTCCACAAACCACTACATTTAAACAAAAAAACATGTTGGATAATAATGCTCTGTATTATCTTAAAGACACCTGATATTGTGAATGTAAACAAAACGAATCCAGTTCGATGCTATTACCGATTCAGAGTAGGACAAATACTTAACATAGTAATATTTTCTTGAAATCCATTAATGCACTCGCTCCAGTGTTGCACCAAGTTGCATGCTTTAAATTAAACTAACCTGGATTACATGGAATTCTCTTTGTATTACGATGTGCTATTTGGGTACGCACCACACATGGGACAGTAAATTAAACTGGACGGTGTATTCCTTTCTTCCAGTTTAGTTTATTTTTTTCACTTAGTAACATATTAAGTAGCAAGAACTGTGGCACAATGTTGTCAGTGTGCAGGTTTAATAAAGAGAGGAACATCAGAATATACGGATGAATAATGGCTGTGGGAAAGAAAACTTTTTGGGGGATTCTGTGTCAGGTTATGGTTTTATTTCATAGTCTCTTCCATTACTTCCAGTTTTTGCCAGTTCATATATGATGTATTAATCATTTCTAATTTGTTCACCAGGCGCTGCTGCTGGTAGCAAACTCAGTGGACACTAACGCTGACTGTGCGCGACTAGTGGTGGACGGCTGGCTGGAGTTGGAGCTGAAGGAGCCAGAGGAGGCTCTGAAGGTGCTGTCCACAGCGCTTACTCTCAGGGCTGAGTGGGAGCGCCTGCTGCAGGCCCAGCTGGGACAGAACTCAACAGGGGGAGCAGCAGTCGGGCAGGGGGTGTCCCGCAGAGTTGTGCAAAAGCTGAGTGAAAGCCTGGTCCGCTTTCTGCTCTACACTGAGGTACTGATGTGCCAGCTTGGTTGTTACTGTATAATGGCCATCACTTGATGATCCTAGAACACAGAGAAGCAGAACGATAAAGTTAGAAGAATCGCCCATTTGTTCCAGAAACAATTTAACACATCACTAAACAGCTGATAAAATGTAAACAATGTACATAAGACCAATACGTTAATAGTCAAAATGTTTTTTTGTGTATTTTTTACTTTCCCTGACAGGTCACTTATAGCCTTCGGCGACTCTCAGCTTTCCAGACCCAGAACCTGTACATTGGTCCTCAGTCTGAGTCTGTGTCGTCGAACACTAAAGCTGGAGATTTAAACCCGCTGTTTCCAGGAGCCGAGGCCAAGCCAGACCCCATTAAAGGAGGCCTACGTGTCACCAACTTTTTCACCTACAACTGTCTGGCTGTGAGTTTGTCTAAAAACAGCAGCAATTCAGAAATGCATTGAGTTAAAGTTTCAAAGAAATTATTGTTTCAGCTCTTAGGGCTGTATTTACATATTACATTCCCTATATAGCAATGGAAGTTGAAAGAAGGACAATTCTAGAGTTTTACATATCAGAACATAATTTAAAAAATCATCTGGTCTCTAAAACATCCTAAAAACATCCCAAAATTAAGAAAATGAAACATATATATAAATATAATAAAAGTAATAATTACCCAAATTGCTTTCATGTGAATTAAGATGGAAAGTAGCAGCCAGTTGTTAATCAAATGCACTTGATTAATTGAACATCTGCAAGTGTGACCACCTGTGTTAAAGTAGGTTTGGATGTTTGCTGGTCTGGAGTCTTCCTGTGTATAACAAAGTATACTGGAGTCAGATGTGACGCCATCTATCTGACAGCTAAAGCTTGGCTAACTGATCATCTACAGCAGACTGGCTGAATAAGAAAAGAATCAAGGTGCTGGAATAGCCCTGCCAAAGTTCAGACCTCAGCCCACTTGAAATGCTGGCAGGACCTTAAGGGGCTATGCTTAAACCTCTCATGAGAAAGAATATAGTTAGGACCAGGTGATTTTTTTTTTTTTTAATATGTCCTGATATTTGAAACCACAGAAATGAAAGACATTGGAAATTTCTTTTTCATGACTGTAAGTTTGTCTGGGGTTTTTAAAAAGTTATTTGAGAGTTCTTTATATATTGTTTCACTTATCAACCTCCAAAATCAAAAGCTATGCCAGAAATTTAATCTCTTCCAAAGTAATACAAGTGACAAAATGCATTTTTTTGAAATACTTTTACCTTGTACGTGGAATCCATAACTTTTTAGACAATGACCCTCAAAATTACTGTTATATACTAGACTGTCCCTTTCAATGTTATTCATATAGATGCAGAGTGTACGTCAGAACCAGGATTTTAACCTAACTGCATCAACAGAGACATCAGACAAAAAATAGTTAAAGACCTGCAGTTTGGCTGTATATGGATTATAACGTGCCATTTCCTCAACCAAGTTATAATGAAAAAATACAATTAAAAATTAAAACAATAGATGGTCAGTTCTAGGTTTAATGTCTCGAGTATTTTGTTCATGCATGAAAACAGATCATTTTGGAATGAAACCGCGCAGCTTGTCTTATTAAATCTACGCATTATTTTAGTATTTCTAAATTATGATTCGCAGGATTCAAAAGACCTCTACAGTGAGTGCTTACGTACTTTCTGGAGCTGTCCCAACTGTGACCTGTACATGCCTCTAACTCCACTGGAAAGAATGCATCATGAAGCTTCCTGCAGGCCGGCTGGAGAACAGCAGCAGCCTGAGGAAGGTCAGGAATTTCTTTTGTACTCTGATTGGTTTAACACATTAAGCGTTAGGCCACATACTTTATTTTAGAAGAGCTAAAGAATTTGATACGAAGTGTGCGTGCGTTTGCCAACTGTGTGTGTTTTTATTTTGTATTTTATTTCAGAGCCAGAGGGTGGAAAAGCAAGCTCTTCATCAAGCCTTACCAGAGTTTATCACTGTGATGTGTGCAATCAAGACCTGACCCTCACCTCCACTGAGATCCTCAAACATAAAAGGCAGCACATGTATTCTGCAAAGTAATGGACCCCAGCATCCAAAGGATAACAGCTAATCACAGTTTTGGTGGTGGTTGTGGGGGGTGTTGTTTTGTTTTTATTTTAATGGAAAATTTGTGTCTTCTTCCTCCCTTTTTAATACTTGTGGATCTTTTTTTAAGGCAATGTTCCTGCCCTCTAGTGGTCACTTGTTATATTCTGTTGTAGCTTACTGTAAAGTCCTGTTCCTGTAGGAGAGATGCAGATTTAGAAAACTAGTCTCCTTAATTTTTTTTTTTTTTACAAAATATAATATAAATATTTGAGTAATAATCAAAGGCAAGAAATAAATGTGTGTTTAACAAAAGAATACATTTATAGGCTTTTTTCTTTAAAAAAAAAAAAAAGATTCCTTCCACAGCTCTATGGAACAGTTATAAAGCAATTTGAACCAGTGTTTGGGAAACGGCACAGTGAGTTTTATACATGCACACATGAGAAAGAAGAAAACGCTTTTAAAATATAGAGTGAGGGTTTAATAATGATACAAACCCACGATATGTAACACCTCAAAGCAGCACATTGGCACAAAGTCAGAAGTAAGACAGCACAGAAGATAAAAACCTGTCTCAAAAAAATAAAGAATCAGAATAAATATCTCAATAAATAAATAAACAGGTAATATCTCATTAATTACTTTGAAACTAATAAATACGTACATTTGAAAATATGCACATTGGCAGAAATTAATAATCAAAAAAGGAAATAGTACTTAATACAGAGTTACTTAGAAATCATAAGTTATTGATTACTCAAATCAAAAGGCACATTTATTAAGATGTAAGAATGGGGCCTGCAATTGTGATCGCATGACTGTCAGTACTGTACTCTAACACCATTTCTGAACCAGAAGCAGCAAACTGTGTGCAATGGCTTTACTAGTTCTGCACCATCGAGTGAACACGTGTGTCTGTGTGTGAGGATCTATCAGATTTGTGGAGAGAGTGTGTGTGAGTGTGTGTGTGTGAGAGAGAAAGACAAAGGTTTTGAATCAGGGGATGGCAGTCTTGTGACTGGGTTTGGATTTCCTGCCATTGTGACAGGGCGTCTTTAAAAAAATTAAAAAATTAAGAGGACCAACAATGTTGGCAGGCTGGCCTAGTAGTAAAGACAATGTCCCATAACCAAGAGATCGAGGCTTGTGTTCATCAGCAGTTGCATGTCCTGACTCTGAACCCTACTGTCTCTTCACTCACTTTAAGTCACTTTGGATAAAAATTCTTGGCTAAACTTAAAATGTAAATAACATGGTGAAGCTTCTGAAAGGTTCATTCTGCCATAATTTAAAGTCCACCCAGGTGATGCTGCATTTGAGACAACGAAACTCGGTCAGCACTGGTTTCCTTATACAAAAAAAGGTATATCCATCACTTACACTTGTATTACCTTTCTGGGATTCTCAGTACATTCCATGTGTTATTTAAATTTGTTGACTTTTGTTTTTTTTAAAGCTGCAAAATCAACAACAATCAACTTTTTTTACTTTGTGATGATTTTTTTTTTAATGACTTAAAGCTTATTGCATTTAATACATATTATATAACCATTATGGCCTTATTTAAGTTTTTTCACTTAACAGAAAAAGCCCAAATTTTCTTGTTGTATTTAATTTTGGAAGTGACGCACCTTTCTATAGTGGAACTGGTGTGCTTTTATGCAATGTGGCAATTTGTAAGGTGAAACAAAAAGACATACTGTAAACAAATATCCCTGTACCTGTATTCTAAGGAATTCCTACAAAAATGAAAGGATTTTTTTTTGTCCATTTCTTGGTCTAAATGAACTATTAATGCACCTTTAACTGGTTATTAACTGGAAGTAGAAATGTATCCTGCCAATCAGCAAAATAAAACATAGAAATGCAAGGTACATCACCAGCAACATTTTTAAAAATGTCTCAGGGCAAATTCATCTTTAATGCTAGCTTTAAATTTACAAAATCTTCCGCACCCTGGGTGGAACAGAAACTTGGAGCTTTGTTTCTAAATCACGCAACCACTCCAGTTGACAACAGGCAGTGGGAACGTTTGAATAGAATAGCGTAAAAATAGCAGCTTTTTTGACCTTCCACTTAAAGCAATATAAAAACCGCATCGCCTGTTTCGTTCAGTGTTTTCAAGTTAATGTGTCTTTTTCTAATCACAGCGTCAACAGTCTGCAGCAGACGCGTTCGAATGTCGCACCTGCGAGCTACGTGCTGCTGCTCAAAGACAACTTTGTGTTCCTGTTTTTATGCTTGATGTCGAGCACAGCAACACACTACAGTATTCAGTTTCAACACTTTTCCATTACTGCTTAGTGTATACTAACATGACTAACCAGTACAAAAATAAATTTTGAAACATTGTTCATTGCACTTAAATTTTTGGTGGTGTCTCACACAGAGGCCGAGACACATCAACAGATTGGTTACCATGGGGTCCTGTTTTGTTTTTCTTTGGGGACAGTGCAGTCACTGTGTACATTAGGTAGAATAGACTCGCTCAGAGGCCTCAGTTGTAAGCACCTTGACTGATTCAACAAGTACAGTGGTGGGATATGAGGATTTCTATGATATATATTGAAAATACTTGGGAATATGGGAAAAATACATGTATGTGCAAATGTGAGGGTGCTGAATGCTAGACACATATTCTCCTTTTTTCTTTTTGGAAACAAAAAAGTAACCATGTGTTTGGTTACAAAGGATCATTATGAATCATGTTATGACTTTTAAGTCTTGGTGGTCATCATTGCAACTTCCCTTAACAATAATTGTCTCTTTGCATTTGATAACCTTTCTCCCATTGTGGTATAATGCGGTATAATCAAAGGACAACACTAGTGGTCTCAGATGCTTGTACTCTCTTGAAGACTGCATGCACCATGTGCTCATTCACACCAAACATCTCTCCTTTTTTTCTTTCCTTGTTTTTAGTAACATCTGAGGTAAAATTAGAGGTAAAGGGTGACATCTGTTCATCTGACTGATAAACAGGCCAACATGGAACAAATAACTTCCCCAAGATCTCATGTTTGTGAGTACGTGAATGTGTGTGCCATTTGGGGATTCTGTCAATATGTTTTACATTTAATAAAATATACCAATTAAAATTATAACAATCATATATATAAACATCTTTTGTTTTTTGAGTTTTTTTTCCTTTCTAAATTAAAAAAAAAAACGGACATTTGAAACAGTGTACACTTCACTGTTGCCTCTGCCACCTTCTTTCTGTGATAAAGTCACTGACAGCTAACTCTAGATCAGCCACTCCTCAATAAATCCACTATAACTCCCACAGAGCCTGGTCTGAGTGCAATGCACCTACAGCAGGCATGGACCAGTGAGGAAGGCCCCAGGTTGAAAAGAGAAAGAGCCGAATGCAGCGGAAGGCTGTGGGGCTTTGGCGGGCCAGAGGTCTGGGTCTACTGAGAGCACTGTTCCTATTTAGGGCCAACCTTCTGCGTCCTAACGGATGCTCTCTTCTCTCAATACCCAAACCCCCTCGGTCCAGGAAACCCCTCCCTCCCAAAAGCCTGGCTTCATCGGACTGCCTTGTGCTTTCCCCCACAGCAGCCACACCTCTCCCCACATCGCAGGCAGGCGCGCAAAGGCAGGTAGCAGCACATGCAGGGCACAAAGAGAGACAGGGCCAGGAGGGCCAACCAGCGGGCACAGCAGAGGGGATGCGGGTGGCCCCCCATTGAGTCATCACATGAACAAGGCTCCCAGAACTCTCCCTCAGAGTCCGACATGCAGTGGTAGAGCAGACTCTCTGCGCACCACACACAGGTCCACTGGCGCAGGCAGTGCAGGGCCGGGTCTGGGGCATCTCTGCATCGGCCCCGCCCATTCTCTGAAGCACTGAAAACAGAGCGGCAGTACACACAGCGAGACGAGCATGACGATGAAGCCTGAGGGCACGGGCTGTCATCATCGGGAGAGATTGCTCCTGGGTCACCACTACTACTGGCCCCTCCTCCTCTCTTACGAGTCCGCGACCGGGGAGTGGCCAGCGATGTGTGGATGCAGCAGGGCGACGGCGAGCCTTTACCCGTCTCCTGGGGTGAACCGGCACCTGAGGACACGCCGGATACAGCATTGGGCATGGACATACAGATGGGTGACGATGAGGATAAACGCTGGGAGGCTTTACTGTCCAGGCTCACAGTCACATCACAGCCCGCCGAACCCACTCCCGCCAGCTCCTTCTCAAAGCGAACCACGCACAGCTCTGACTTGTCCTGCAGGCTTCCTCCACCACCAACAACCACACCGCCAGTCAGCCCCCCAACCATAGTCCTTGTGGCCCCTGCCCGTCTGTAATCCTCATAACCTCGAGAACCCCACAGGTCTTTGCAAGGGTCCACACTGTGCAGGTCTCCCTCCTCCAGCAATGAAATAGTGGGTGAGAGGGGGGACAGGGGAGATGAGGCTGGGGGACCTACAGGAGGAGTAGGTGGAGCAGGAGGTGGGGGCGGGGGCGCCGGGGGATTCAACACAGCCGTCATTTGTGAGAGTTGGTGCTGGCCCGACCTGGTGTGGATCTGTGGAGAGGGTGTAGGATTACAGAGTGAGTCAGGAACATTGTGTACTATGGCAGTGGTTATAGAAGGTTTTCATTTCTCAGATATCCCACATCCATACACAAGAAATAGAAAAGGCCACACCTGTTAAAATCTCACTTTATGCATTCTCAATGTAGAACAAATAAACTTGCATGGACTTAACAGTGGGGACAGAGGGGGGAAAAATCAACCAAAACAGTTGATGGGGGGTTTTTTTTGGGGGGGGGAGGAATCTAAAACAGCTCACAAACCTCTTTCTAGGTTGTCTGCAGAAATCATTACTCAGCTTTTAAAGTGTTTATTGACGAGAAATAACTGCAAATAAGTGCAAATAACTGAAAAATCAGTTACAAATGCACATATCAAGATGTGCACATTATTCTCAGTGCAGTGGTATGGTCTAGTCAGTAAACTACAGCTAGAGCAGGAGGTGGTGTGCTACCTGAGCAGGTGTTTGCGTGGTTACAGCATGGCTGGATCCAAAACTAAACTCTTCCGACCGCACGAAGCAAGTAGACGATGACTCGCTTGTCACTATGGTGATGGGTTTGGGAAGCATCTCCTTTCTGCTGTTGGATGACGACTCACTTCCTGTATGAGACTGATAGAGGTTGCATGCCACCCCGCAAATCAAAAATCAACAATGACTGCATTTGGGTCAGGTGACAGAATACACAAACCCATTTTATTCAATATGTGGTCAAACAATGACCTGTTCGGTTACTCACAGCTTGTCCGTCATCCTCAGTGTCGGCCTCTTCTGGCGTGGAGGATGAGGGCGAGTCAGAGCCTTGTAAACGTAAAAAGAGATGACTTAGGTTTTCCTGCATATTTTCTATGAATCATATTTTATACGCAGCTCATGTCTACCTCTGTCGAGCTTGTCTATGACAGTCTGAAGCCCTTTCTCAAAGGAGATGGCATCGGCAGGGCTCTGGAATGTAAGGCCAAACTTTCGATCCTCTACTCGCCAGTGATGGAAGATGGGGTTCACCTTGTTGTACACTAACCCTTTTTGCACTGCACACTCCAGCACCGGCTAGACAGAAACATCATTCCAGACAATTTAAGAAGTTAGTTAACCAATTAAGATCTAGTCCTTCCTTAAGTTTTAAGACAGCATATATCTACAGTCTTTGGATGGTGTTGACAAGCAACGTGTCACCAAAGACAGGCATAACACACGCACACACTCACTGCTCGATCTCGCAGCCGTTCTCCACGTATGATGTACTCCCTCCGTCCCCTGCCATCATGACTCCGCCCCTTACATATGACCACATGACTGAGGCCACCACCTCCAAGGGGCACCCAACCGCCACTGGAGTCATCACGTGTCATCACCACCGCACGAACACGCACACTGTCAGGGAAACCAAGAGTGAGCCGAGGCCATGGCTGATTAACCAGTGTATCCTAATGTCTTGATGCATGCTCAATCATCCAGGTTAGGAAATCCCAAAATGTCTATTCTCTTCATCTGGCTGTAGCCTTTTCAGTGGGAGAAAGACTTTGTCACTCATCCAAGTGACTTTTTCTCTTCACCCTGAGACTAAAAAGCTCTAAGTCCAGATGAACAGAATAAACTTATTGGTATGCACTATAATAATAAACACACACTGGCACACACATGTGCACAAATACCTGCAGCAACTGATATGCACAGTCATTCAAGTGAAAACAGGTAAAGCCAGATCAACTTTCAGAACACAAAAATTCAGTACAGTGTGAGGATTTCAGGGTCAGGATTGATGCCAGCACACATGTTTCCATAAAGAAATTCACACAAAAACCACAAAACTGACAGCTTAGTTGGACTATGAGTCGTGGCTATGCAACATGACCACTCAAAGGTATATCATACAGTAACTCATAGCTAAGGCAATTACTCATGTGACCGGTAAATCTAATTTTAAGTATCAGTCTGGCTTGGTGTTAGCATTTCCTAAGCATTTCTGCTGCTAGTGTTTGAAAGCTAGAATGTTAAGCTATAGTGTGAGCTATATGGGCTCAAAATTAAGGGGCTATGGAGCAAATTGATAGAAAGAACGCCAAGGTTGAGGAGGAGAGAAATGGCCAAATGGGAGGAGGGAGGAAGAATGAGTGTTTCCAAGATAGACGTATCAATGAACGCACCCATCGCCATCAGAGGCCCGGCATTCTTACAAAAAGAAGAAGAAGAAGAAGCTGCTCTCGCCAAATCGGCTGAATAATTCAGCACTGCAGTTCGACATGTGTTTGTAATGCATGCACAGCTGCATCTTTTTGTCATTTTTCAAAGCACACTGAATTTTAATTGTTGCAATTATTTTTCTTAAGACGCTCCCTGTCTCCATTCCGCCCCTGCTGCACGCACTCATTAACACACCCCGGTATTATGTTATATTTTTTTATGAATGGGATGGAGCGAGACTGGATTTGACACTGCACTGCGCGTTATACATTTCGCCGCAAAAAACGTTTTAGGCCCAAATACAATGCAATCGCGTGTAAAAAGGGAAGAATGAAGAAGAAGAAGAAGAAGAAGAAGAAGAAGAAGAAGAAGAAAAAAACGAACGAGTGGGTGAGAGGATGGAGAGGAAACGAGAGATGGGGGGAGGGGGCCCGATTAGAAAAGGGAAGAAGGAGAGGAGGGGTGAGAATGAGGGAGAGCGAGGGAGAGAGAAAAATCACATTTCATTCATAAAGTTTGGCTTTAAAAAATCATAATGAAACCCCGAGACACGTTGATAAAAATCACAACGCCTCCATCCCTCCCTCGTTTTACTGTAGCCATGTCTTGAATGACGCGATGCTGGCCCCAAACTCGCCATATTTCGCCTCCCCCCTCCATACATTTTACACACTGACTGATTTCGTGCTTGTTTTTACCAATCACTAACCACGCATTTCGTTTTTGAATTGCTGCATAGCACCCGATGTTTGCTCAGTACAATAATTGTTGTTATTTCGTTAATTTTGTGCGTGCATGCCGTGTGCCAGTCATCCAAAAAGCACAGGTCCACATGTAGGTGGCTTGACACTTATCACAATTTGGCGTGGATATATCGGAAATGGGGTGTATGCTGTTGATTCAAAACTACGTAATGGTGTTTTTATTCTCGGCAGCCTGCTAAACTGTAGAGCACCGAATGTGATAACAGTGCATGATACTGGTGTAACACTGAGGGTGGTGGCGTTCTTTCCTATCCGTTTTTTTTTTTTTTTTTTTTTTGGCGGACGATTGAATATATATGTGCAATGTTAAAAATGAAAATGTAAGGACTTACTCGCCCTCCATGGCTCGGTGTTGCCCGCCGCTTGCAGCAGCCCACCCCAGGGTCTCCTCTCTCTCTCTCTCTCTCTCTCCCTCTCTCTCTCTTTTTATCCTCCTTTCAGGAAACACTCAGGCTCGCTCACATTCTCTCTCCATCTGCTCTCATTTTCCTAATCTTTCTCTCTCTTGCTCTCGCTCTCTCTCTCCACCTTGATGTCGTTTCGGTGTATCAGGATAGGCTTGAGGTTGCAGCAGCCATTTTCCGCTGGCAGCATCCTCCCTCTCTCTCTTTCTCTCTCTCCCTCCCTCCCTCATTCTCTCTCTCTCTCTCTCGCTCCAAATCACTCCCTCTCTTATTCCTTTTCTCACTCTACCTGCCCTGTGCCAGCACATCCACACTAATCATTGACAGCATCGCGGCTTTAGCTAGCCTATAGGGTTTTTCACCATGTGATTTTAAATGGCTGATAATGATACCGAGTTGCTGATACATGCAGTGACGTGGGTGGTGAATGAAAAGCTCGGTAAAACCATCAATGACCTCTGGTTGATCCGTGATAACTGTGGAGAAAACTAAATTCTATGAAATTCTATGAAATGCAGGTAAAATAAAATCCGACTGCATAGTTCCTTTAAAGTATAAGCCCGGCACAGTAATATGCGTCTGTATTAATTACATTTTAACTGTTTATATATACAGTTTATATGCAACCAAAAGCAGGGCAAAAATACTATTTAGTCCACTACAAGGTCCATAGTTATGGCGAATCCACAAAGGTTTCAGCACCATGGACAGCAATTCACCTTAGCAAATGGTACATCCCCAATGTGAAGGCATTTGGGGTTAAACGCTGTGTTTCAATACACTCTGGTGACTTTTTACTTTATGACCATTTTTGTTACTTTTTAAACAACGAATATACTGTATACTACCTCACTGCGGCTATTCATATAGGCCGTATATTTACCGCTGTTGTTTTCTAAGAGAAATAAATGCAGGTAAAATAAAATTAGAATGCATATTTACTATTTTAGTATAAGCCAGTGTATATATATATATACATATATATATATATGTCACTGTTTACTACAGGGAAAAAAGTTTGCTACTGGCACATAACACTGTGTATCAATGGCACTGTGACAACCTTTTATTTTGTGGTAATTTATTACTTTCTTCTGCCATAAATATACCAGCCTACTGTTTGAACTTGGAAAAAAATATATATCACTATGGATGTTCCTATAAGTTACATAATATCCATATTTTTTAATGTACAATTTACCCCATGTGAATAGATGACACTCTGGCCACTAATCATTTTAGTTTTCAACTCTAAGGCCATAAATACACCAAATGCACTTGTAAAAATTATGCTGCACTGTAGCTATTCATAAAGACTGCTTTCTCACGACGTTTGAGAAAAGTAGCCCAGCTATGTTTTGTCTCTTTCCGTTAAAATTCCTGCAATTCTTCACAATGTCCTTGGACTGCTTTGAGTTAAAGCAGAAATACCACAATGAGAACTGTAATGTAAAGCGGCAATGATAGGCATTGCTGCCACGTGTTTTTAATGTCTCTTTAATGAAAATTATAGCGTGAGCCTATTCCATGTCCATCAAATTCACTTATTATAAATTAACTTTCTACTGTCCGTTCAGTCCCTCTAATCCATTTAGCATTTTAATTTAAAAGAAAAAAAGTAAGTGTGAATTAACAACAACATACCAGACAATGGAGATTCTTGGAAATCAAGCGTGAAAAGAAATTTTTTCTTAAGTTGAGAAAGAGATTACTTTTTCATTCATCCCTGAAGCTCAGTTATGTTACATCAGAAAAATAACCTGATTTAAACACACAGGTTCTCACAACTTTAACATGTACAATTCTTTTAAATGCAAAAAACATAATCTCACGGCACTTTACAAGATAAAGGACTTACACTATTAGAGTAACCAAACTAATCCCTTTAAGCCAACTCTCTTGGTGATAGTGGTCTGTCTCGCTCTTGTAGTTCTGTAGAAGATGTTGTGTTTAAATACCCAAGGTTAGTTTTCAGCACCACGGACAGTCCCTTAATAAACGGCTCAGACGCAATCACAAACGAATCTATGTTTTATGTGTCTTCATCACTTTTAAGTTAGTTTAGAAAAAATATTTCATGAAGGCTAACCCAAAACATATTTAATGTTAAACCTTGACATAATTTACTAATTTTAGTAACAATAACCTACTACTAACAACAACAACAATATGAGCTCGTTATTCGCCAAAATGTCAGGTATTAACAGTGCAGAGACAGGTATTTAAGATATTATAATTTTGGGGGGGGGGTGGATCAATTCAATTCAATTTAATTTATACAGCGCCAAATCACAACAACAGTCGCCTCAAGGCGCTTTATATTGTAAAGTAGATCCTACAATAATAGATACAGAGAAAAAACCAACAATCATATGACCTCCTATGAGCGAGCACTATGGCGACAGTGGGGAGGAAAAACTCCATTTTAACAGGAAGAAACTTCCGGCAGAACCAGGCTCAGGGAGGGGCGGGGCCATCTGCTGCAACCGGTTGGGCTGAGAGAAGGAAAACAGGATAAATACATGCTGTGGAAGAGAGACAGAGATTAATAGCAGGTACAATTCAATGCAGAGAGGTCTATTAACACATAGTGAGTGAGAAAGGTGACTGGAAAGGAAAAACTCAATGCATCATGGGAATCCCCTGGCAGCCTACGTCTATTGCAGCATAACTAAGGGAGGATTCAGGGTCACCTGATCCAGCCCTAACTATATGCTATATCACATACTGCATTTTTCCAAACTACGTCCAGCACCATGTCATGATCTCTATGTGTTTGGAGGCACACCACAATTTCACTTTAATTCATTCATGGAATAGCATTGCAGTTTTATCAGATGCAATATGCATCATGTAGATCTCCCTTTTCCACCACTTCTCAAAGATTCTCTGTTGGATTGAGGTCAGGTGACTGTGGAGTTCATTTCAACACAATGAACCTGACATTGATATGGTCAGCAAACCAATGTGATATATTTTAAGCTCGTGAAAGCAGCTAAGATGGGCACACTTTAGTAACAAAGAGGTGGACAGCAACAATATTAAGACCGACTATAGTGTTTGAAAGATGTTCAGTTGGTACTAAAGGGGCCAAGGTGTGTCAAGAAGATATCACCCACGCTATTAAACCACTAGAAGCAGTCTAAGCTACTGATTCAATGCAGGATGAATCCACACTTCATGTCCTTTATGCTAAATTCTGACCCCAAATGTTGCAGCAGAAATTGAGACTCATCAGACCACAAAATATTTTTTGACTCTTGGATTATCCTATTGGCGACTTGTGGAATTAGAACCGTTTCGTTCTTAGCTGACCAAAGTGGTACCCTGTGTGGTCTTCTACTGCTGTAGCCCATTTGCTGTTTCGCATACCTTGGTTGCAACTGGTTATTTTAGTTACTGTTTCCTTCCTTAAAAAAATGTTTCCTTTCTTCACAGTTTGAAGGAGTCTTGCCATTTTCCTGTGACCAGGAGATGGATGTGAGAATTTCCCAGTAGATCAGCAGTTTCTAAGACACTCACCAACAGCAAGAACCATACCTAACCACTCAAGTTAATTAAAGGTGAGTTAAATCACCTTTCCTCCCCATACTGATGCTCATTTTGAACTTCAGCAAGTCATCTTAACCATGCCTAAAGGATTGAACAGATTGATTGTTAATACAAATGTCGAATCATTCAAACCGGTGTAACTTAAAAAGTGGCCGGTAAGTGTAAGGCAATGACAAAACATGGCAGCGTCATTACACATCCAAGTACTCAAAAAACTAAACTTCCACCGTGAAACCAGTTTATTTTTGTTTTGTTTTTTGGTTAATCTGTCATTTTAAGGTTATTTGAATACACAAAATATTACTAATGATTCAAAACTTACATATCTTATTCACAATGCTCTTACAAACCTCTACCTGGCCACATAACACCTTAATTTGCTTAAATGGCCTACAAATTAATACAATCAGGAAAATAAGTATAAATCAAATGAAACCCAGCAATGGCAGTGAAACAATACACAGATTGATGGACTCAATTCCTGAGCGATTGTGGCTCAAGAGTTGGGAGTTTGCCTTGTTATCAGAAGGTTGCCGGTTTGAGTCCCGGCTTGGACAGTCTCGGTCGTTGTGTCCTTGGGCAAGACATTTCACCCGTTGCCTACTGGTGGTGGTCAGAGGGCCCGGTGGTGCCAGTGTCCGGCAGCCTCGCCTCTGTCAGTGCGCCCCAGAGTGGCTGTGGCTACAATGTAGCTTGCCATCACCAGCGTGTGAATGTATGGGTGGATGACTGGTTGTGTAAAGCGCTATACAAATACAGGCCATTTACCATTTAGTTTGCCCCTCTGAAGCAATGAAAAGATTCACAAGACTGTGACCCAGTAACACAAATCCCACAAGCTGCATCAGCTCCAAGTGCAATTCACATCTCTTAAAAACAAGCAACCAAAAAAACCCAACAATCGTGGATTAAAGGAGTTGTACAATGAAACTAAAACAACATACCACAAATAAAAGAAAAATAGTCTGTTTTAAATCTTTTTTCATAATTGCAGAAAGGGATAATGAATAACTGAATGGATATTTATTTCAATTGCATCATCACCAGTTGCTGGGTGCTCTGAAGTCAGATATCCAACACCACCTCTGGCATGTCAGAATAACCAAAACATGCTTAGCACCCAAAGAAAAAGAAGTGCACAGGAGACATGTGGTATGGTATAGTATACGTTCAACATAAGGAATCTGGCTATCATTAATAAAATCTGAATAACTATGTGATCGTAACTAGGACCCAATCTTACCCTTAAGATGAAAGTTCAAGCATTTTACCCTTCCTTATATTTTCCTTTGTACCATTGGTTAATAATCAGTAATTCTATTTTTGATTCCACTTCCAAATGCACCAGCTGCATCCAGCTTACTCAACATTGAAAGAGACTAGAAAAGACACTGACCAATGAAAGAAGGCATTACTATTGAGCTGCTATCAGTGGCTTAATTCTGGGGAAAGTTAGAAATGTATAAAGAACACAACACTAACATGCAAAAAGTTTGTTTTATGAATCATTTATTGTAGATCAATGTGTTTACAAAATGTCTAGTGAGGAAGAGTCAAACACAAACTTCAGTGGCAATTTTAGATACAAGGCAAGGGCAATACATTTATTTTTGTTCTACCCAGGAGAGAAAACTTTGATACAAAAAGAATTTGAAGTTCAGGGAAAAAAATGGTGAGTTTATTGACAGTTGTTTGACACTGAATACCAAAATTAGGGTGATGACTTTAAATTTTCTTACAGTTGAAAAAGAAGAGACCCAGTGTTTAAAAGAAATATCTGGGAATGACTAAAGAAAACTAAAGTTTAACGTTGGACAGATGGTATTTTGAATAAAAGAACCGGCTTTAAACACTCAGACTCTCACATGTCTGCAATATAGATATTTATATAGCAACTGCTAATTAGACCAAAGGTGATATTTTCAGTGGGGGGTTTTGTATTAAAATAAAAACCAATCTGTCAGACTTCCAGGTAGATTTGGGAAAACAGGAATAATGGATGCCAGTTGATTTGTGAGGCATAGGAAACAAATAAACCACTCTGGCAATAAAGGAAGTCATATCCCTTAGTGAAACTGTGTTTGAGCTGACTGGATGTATACTGGACCAGTGGCGTGTTTGTCTGAGTGCATCTGTACATGGTTGAGTGTGTTCCTGGGGGCGGATTACACAATCATTTCCAGCTGTCGTGCGTATTCGATGACCTGTTGTGCCAGCTCAGTAGAAGGGATGTTCACCTCTTCTGTCCGCTGTTGCTGATTGGTGAAAGAGTAATAGCCATCTGCACTCAAATTCCATCCTCTCTGAAATGGGGGAAAATGTATTCATTTAAACAAATAAAAAATAAAATGAAAATCAACAGTTACAGATTGCTTATGTAGTTATTTGACTTATTACATGCAATAATCTAGGAAGGATTTTTATTTTAATTATAGACAACTTGTTAAGGAACATCTGAAAACAAACAGTAAAATGTATCTTTTCCATCTGATGTTATGAATATTACTTATTTTTCAGGTTCTGCCTATGCACAAATTTTATCTAACATCTGGAGGGACATTTTCCTGTATATTAACAAGCCAGTTTCTGACAACTCCCCTTCCTATATCCAATCATAATGACATCTACAACATAACACGTTGATTAAGAACCAACTTAGACTTTACATAAATATTTCAGGCACCAAGGCCACCTGACAGCCAGTGTTTACCTAATAAATCTTAATAAGCATTTGCATAAGCAGAAGCAACAGAGTTAAGCAGGAACTTAATTTCTTTAAATCATGTTTTCACAGCAGGAATCTAATGTCTCCTCCTCATAATATCTGGATTTGACTACAGGCTTGATTCCCAAATGAAAACAGACTTACCTTCTTGGCATAATCTGTCATCTTTTTGGGGGAACTGAAGAAAAGCACACGGGTAGCTTCACTGAACTGGATCTGCTCATACGCCTTCTCTATGCAACCTGCAATCTCGTCGCTGCAATTGAAAAGGTCAGCTTTAGTTAAAGTCATCTTCAAAGGACAGAGTTGTATTTTTAATGACGTTTTATACATTTCTACATTATTACGGCACAACACAGTGAAATGAAGTTGTTTTTCCCCCCAGAGTTCACAGTACAAATCAAGAAAACATTAAAAATTAGACAAAGACAGGAAAGATATTGTTTAAAAAGGTGTTTAAACTGCCATCTATTTCACATTTGCTCAGGTTAAAGTATTGGTACAACTATGAGAGTAAAATAAATCATTGTGTTTGTTGTGTTGAGTTGTCTTTACACTATTCACTGCAACTATGTAAAATGGATTAAAATAGCTTTTGCACACCTAACTGTTGTTATGTGGTTGTAGGCTACTGATAAATATTTTAAAATTCACAACGAATGCAGAATGTGTAAAAGGCATAGAAATCATTATGGTCCTTACCGAATTGTGTCCAGAAGAATATCTATAAAAAAGGTGTAGCTCTCAGCAGGGATGTTGCCTTTGGCTAGGAATACTTTGTTGTAGCTTCCCTCCATCAAGTACTGAAATTAGCAGAGAGAGAATAAAATATTAAGATTGCATTTACATCAAAGTTACTATAACAGGACTTAAATTATTGTGTATAAGTAAAACTCCAATAAGCCAAGCATTTGTCCAAATAAATATTTAGTTTGTGTAAATTAATATATATACCTTTAAATACATAATGGGTATAAAATATCAGAGCACACATCAATCTACCTCAGGCCAAAAGCAATCTATTAAATCTTAGTGAAGCATATAAAGGAATTACTGCAAATAGCAGTCAAACATAACCCTCTGATGCAACATCTATTGTAGGATCAAAACTATTTTACAAATGTAGCTTCTATAATTTCAAGTTAACACTAATGCTAGCATGCATGCATATATATATCACTAATTTTGAGCAATTTACGGGTACAAATTTCCAATTGGACACACAAATTTTTTTTTTCTTTAACACCTGATATTACACAATAAAAATCATCCAAATCAAAATCAGGCATTGTCCATAAGTAAGCTATAGCACCTGCTCTAGAGACACTGGGTGTCTGATGTACACGTTGGTCTGAATATCTCTAGCACTCAATCTTTCGAGTTCTGTGTGAAACTCAGACACGCGATTCTGCGAAAGCAGGAAGAGCAGGTTCAGTCCAAGTAACTGATGCATGTAAGCAGCTTCAGGCAGCTCTTCCCTAAAAAAGAAAAAGATGTAAATAATTACTTCAGTTACAAAAAGACCTCAATCTTGGGCAACAAATTCTCTAAGAGAAAGTGGCATTTACTTGTAATCAAAGTAGTAACATTTTAGCTGGGCCATGTATCGCTCAAAGGATGGGATGTCCTTCTTGAGGATGCTCCATAAGGCTCCTATTTCAAGTACATCACCTAAAATACAAACATAAATTGTACTTAGAAATTATTTTGCAAGTAACTTAAAAAGCTGTTGTGTTAACTTGTGGCAGCTTGATTTGCAGGTACTCACGAGCTAAAATGAGCTGCTGCTTGGTGAGAGAGGATCCACTGGTAGGTAAAAAGTTCAGATCCAACAATGAAATCTGTTTAAAAAGAAAAGATAAATGTAACAATGTAAATCTAAATTACAACACATCATTTGTAACAGAACAAACCCCAAAGTTGGTTTTCATTGAGTTCTAACAACCTAGACAACCTTATAAAACATTTATTTTGATGTCAGACTCCTGTTGAAACTTTTTTCCTTCGTTTCTCAGTCAAACTCTGTTTTAAAAAAATAACAATTACATATACAGAGCATCTCAATGCCAGGGTTATATCACAAGAAAAAAGGAAGAAACAAGGAAGAACACAAGATACAGAGGAAAAAGCTGTAACAAGCATTAACAATCTAATTTATCAAAGTTATATTTTATTGTAACAGTTTTTTTCCCTTTTCAAGATCTTAACTATAGTGCCGTGTTGTAATAGTAATAGTTCCTAATTTAAAAAATGAATAAAGCTTGACTTGGAGATGGTCCACCTTGTTTTGTGAATGTGAAATTTCCCCAACATTATCATTTATACCCACCAGAAGGCAGTTGTCCAATAGGATGTCCTTAGTAAACAAGGACAGCAAACTGGTGACATGATGAACCAAACCAAAGATATCAAGAACCCTTTTTGTTTTTAAGCATTGAAGAGAATGCTAGTTGTGTATAGTTAGGGGGGACGTTTCAGATTCCCCTTGGAATGCACTTGGTTATTACATTTGTATTTTTTGTCATTTAACAAGAAGCTGCAATGAGCTCTTTATCTCCAAGTGGATGTACCAAACGTGGAATTGATTGAATTGAATAGGTGTATTTTATATATAGGCTAATATAACTTTCATAATGGTTGCTTCTTAATAGAAATATAACAGATTTGACTGACTTTGCCTTGCAAAACTAGTTGTATATACGAACAATTTCTGAATACGAAAAACATCTTTGCTGATGTCCTTATCACGAGTCACTTTAAAAAAAAAAAAGCAAAGAAAAAAGGGTTCTTCTTTTTAGTGATACCTCTTTCAACTCGGCTTAAACTTGCCAAACAGAAAACTGAGCTAACGAAAGGTACAGTGACGTTAGCTTTCATTGACTAAGTTAATCATTTGTTTCATCATTATCCTAAAATGATGATATTGTTCGATCCCTCTCCAAACATTGGTTTGTAGTTAGCAAGTGAAAACTCTACACTATTCAACCAAAATTAATTTAATTATCGGTGTTTATCCAGTTACTGACGTTAACGTACAGCGTTAGCTGGGCTAGCGTAAGTTAGCAATCTGTTTGCTAACAGTGCTAACGTTTACAAATAGAAAGACTTCCTTCCTACAATCAACCCTGGACAAGCAAATGTGCGACTTTACCTTAAGCTTGCTCAGAAGGTCTCCACATTTGTTTAGGTTTGGATTTTTCTTGTTCCACTCCGCTTTAAGTGTCTCATACAGCCCAGCGGTCTCTTTCAGCGCCATGGTGATTCTGCAAAATATACGACACCGGCCACCGTAACACGTTAAATGACTGTCGTGAAAAAAACCAAAACACGTTACTGCTTCCTTCAGAAATCAGACAGTTGATCAAGATGGCGGCACTCAATTCAGAACGGTGGCTCAATGACTTACCGAATCACACGATATTCAAAATAATACGCGAGAAGTTGGATTTGGAGTGCACCTCGAGTGAAAGAGGGATCGCTAAGAACCTCACGTTTTGTTTGGGAGCGGATTTGTTCGTGTGGGACGATTCAGACCGCGTGTTTTACACAACCAACCTGCGGCACTTAAACTCAGAGGAGAGCTCCGGTAGCGGGAAGTATCAGACCTTGCTGTGCATCAACCCGCCGCTCTTTGAAGTGTGCCAGGTGCTGGTGAGCCCGACACAGCACCATGTCGCGCTGGTCGGTCAACGAGGCGTCTCGGTCCTGGAGCTTCCTCTGCGGTGGGGCAAGAGGTCCGAGTTTGAAGGCGGACGCAGCAAAATCAACTGCAAGACCATCCCGGTGGCGGAGCGCTTCTTCACCAGCTCACCGTCGGTCAGTCTGCGACAGGCTGCTTGGTACCCTAGCGAGACTGACGAGCCACATATGGTGCTGCTCACTTCAGACAACACGATCAGATTTTACAGCTTGAAGTCTCCGCAGACACCGGCCAAAATCCTGCCAGTGTCGCAGTCAGAAGACGAGAGCAGCCTCGACCCTCCGGTGCATTCGTACGCAGCTTCTCTGGGAGAGATAGCAGTGGCGTTTGACTTTGGGCCGATTTCATCCCCTCCTCGGCAGCTGGCAGGACAGGTCTCCAAAGACCAGCTGGTCTACCCTCTCTATATTCTTTACGAAAATGGGGAGACCTATGTGAACTACACGAGCCAGGTAAACGGTATAAGTCTGAGTAAACCCGTTGGACCTCTCCCCATGTATCCAGCAGCAGAGGATAACTATGGCTATGATGCTTGTGCCATTCTGTGCCTGCCATGTGTTCCGAGTATCTTGGTCATCGCCACAGAAACTGGCACACTGTATCACTGTGTCGTGCTGGAGTCTGAAGAAGAGGATGACACGGGGGCAGTGGAAAAGTGGATCCGAGGCACAGAGACAGTGCCAGCTCTTTATGTGTTTGAGTGTGTTGAGCTAGAGCTCATACTTAAAGTGGCAACGGGAGAGGACGAGGAGCCGCAAGAGTTTGATTTCACCTGTCCAATCAAACTGCACAGAGACCCTCTCTGTCAGCACCGGTATCATTGCACCCATGAAGCAGGAGTGCACAGCGTGGGGCTAATCTGGGTCAACAAGCTGCAGAGGTTCCTTAAATCAGATGAGGAGGATAAGGACAGTCTCCAGGAGCTGGCTGCTGAGAAGCGCTGCATTGTAGAGCACATTCTTTGCACCAGACCGCTCCTGACCAGTCAGTCGGCTCCAATTCGTGGTTTTTTGATTGTGTCTGACCTTGCCTTGGGCGCCACCATGATCTGCATCACCAGCACTTATGAGTGCATTCTGTTACCCCTTCTGAGCTCCATTCGCCCTCCTTCCCCTCCCCTGCTTTGCTCCCACCCAGGTCTGGGCTCTGCCAGCTCCCCTCTGCGTGGGCTGGCCGAAGACTCCTTTGAGCAGCACATTCGCAACATCCTGGCACGGAGCTCCACCAATCCTCTTGTACTTAAAGCTGGAGACAAGGACACATCACCACCACCTCCAGAGTGTCTGGAGCTCCTCAGCAGAGCCACACAGGTGTTCCGCGAGGAGTACATTCTCAAGCAGGACATGGCTCGTGAAGAGATGCAGAGGAGGGTGAAACTCCTGACAGGCCAGAAGAACAAGCAGCTGGAGGATTTGTCTCTGTGCAGGGAGGAGAGGAAGAGTTTGAGAGAAGCAGCAGAAAGGTTGGCTGATAAATACGAAGATGCAAAGTATCGCCAAGAAACCATTATGAACAGGGTTAAGAAAGTGTTGTGTAGCCTGCAAAGCCAGCTACCCATACTGTCAAACAGTGAAAAGGAAATGAAGAAGGAGCTGCAGACCATCAATGATCAACTGAAACACCTGGAAAACTGCATCAGACAGGTGAACATGAAGATGGAGTACCAGAAGACACAAGTGGGCAAGGATATGCCCGGAACTAGGGCAACAGTTTCCCTCAACGCTCCCCAGAAGAAGGTTGTTCAGGATGTCCTCAAAGAACAAGGACAGCAAATTGGTGACATGATGAAGCAGATCAAAGACATCAAAAATCATTTTAGTTTCTAAGCACTGCAGAAAAATGCTAGTTTTTTTTCTGTATAGTTGGGAAAATATTTCAAATTTTCCATGGAATGCACCGTTATTACATTTCCGTTTTTCTGACATTTGATAAGAAGCTGTAATGAGTTCTTGAGCTCTAAGTGGTTGTGCTATCTTCTTATATGCTATATCTTATATGTGCTAGTGTAACTTTACCTTTCATACTAAATGTTTTTCCTTAATACAGAATACAGAAATACAAAAGGTTGGATTTTCTCTTACAAAAAGTTGTATATTTCTACATCAATATTTTTGACATGTTAATGATTGAATCACTAACATACTCAGTTTAATGTCCCGTATATAGGCAGGAAAAATTAAAAGTAATTTGTGCTAAACTAACCTTATACAGCTGTTTTCAATTTTGTTTGCTCACCTTTTTGCATAAAAATAAATAAATGAACTTGAAATTATTAAACTTGTTTGTGTCTCAATGTAGGATAGCTACAAAAAGCAGAAATATTAAGAGACAAATCCAAGTTAACAGTTTTATATTGACATGCATTAACTGACACGTTCACAGCTGCTGGTTGCTGTATTTGCCAGAGTACTTGGAGAAAACCTGTGTAAACAGGGGGAAGATGCAAACATCACAACGAAAGTCCCAGTTAGTAATTTAACTGCGAAAAAACAAACAAATGTGAACTGAACTAAATATTCCACGTCCTGGCAAGATGTTTGAACTTCTAAAGGAGGCTAAAATCATGTGAGTGTTTGGTTTGACATGGATGTTTAGCATAGATGCAATACATAGCATGCCCCCAGTAAGAGACACAGCAAGAGCATAACTCCTAAACAGAAGGCAGGAAATTATTTGTTTTGTCTTGGTTATTGTCTTAATAAACATTGCAAGCCAAAATTGTAAACAATGTTAAAATTCAAGTAGGGCTTCCTACACACTAGGGATTCACTTTTTCTCCCGTGTCTGAACATGTCCTTCAATGTGCACAGCTGCATGCCTCCAGTCTGCCATCTACAGCTGGGAACTCCAGTGAACAATTTCAGCATAAGATTGCCAAGAATCCTGTATCCACCAGGTGTCACCCCATCTCCAGAGCTGACGGCCTCAGTTTTTCTTCCACCACAGGTTTCCTAGTGAGGAATTCCCCACATAAACAATCAGTGACGTATAAGGAGACCCCAGTTTTGTTGAGTAAGCTTCATTGTTGGGGATCTTTGTCGTCGCTGGGGTCATCAACTGTAATTTAGGCTGCTTGCAGGGTTGCAGTGGTAGCTTGATTTGAATACCAAATATTTGAGATGGTTTATGACCCAGAATAACTATTTACATAACAGACAAGCACTGTTCAAACTGCTATTGGGATTTATTTTTTTTTACTCTCTAAGAAGGTGTTGATAGCTGTGACTTAATAATATACAAGGAGAGCATTTTTAGTCAAGAAACTGCATGTCTTTATGATGATTTAGCTGTTTTTTCCACACACATCACCTCACACTTTTTCTCTCAGATACATAGAAGAGGGTGTGGTAAACAGCAGGGCTCACTCGGGAACAGTCCAAAAGGGGAATTTTAAGTTCTTTCATAAAGGTACAATGTTTAGATCCTGAGGAAAGTTAGCAGACCCTAGGAAAGGAGATATTAATAACTCCCAGTCCAGCCCACCACATTCTTCACATGTGAGTCACTGTAAGCTGGAGAGCTGCGAGGAAAGGGCTGCATTGCCTCTGTTTCTCATTTGTGTTTCTTTCCATGGAGGAGTGGAAAAAGAAGGCGGGGAGGCCACTCCTTCTTTAGGAAAGCCTGAAACTCTTATGTGAAATACGCAGCTCTACACAGGACACATTCACGCTCATCCCACATAGTTTACACCAAAACCAAACACTGTGTGCTGGGAGGCTAATGTGAATGCGAACATAGAACTAAACTGGGATGAAGGGGTACAAATAGACTGCATGTGTATGTGCAAGAGAACGAGGGGCAGAAAAAAGGCTTCAGATGGTGGGAACGACAAGGGAAAGAGCCTCGGAAAATGGTGGTATGGAGACTTGGCAGAGGAGACTGTGAGTCACTGTTTATGTGGTCTGTCACTGAGAGACCAAGTGAGCTTGATAAAACACAAAATGTTGTTGAAAAAGAGTCAAATCAAACCCCCATAGCTATTACTTCCATTTTAGGTTATTTATTTTCAGATTGTAGGCATTTTGATAACTAAGTTTAAAAACCTTTTCAAGTTGTACAAAAGTTTTTGCTTGTATGAAAGAATAACCAAAGACACTAGACACAGTCAGGTAGTTTTATTTGGTTACAATGGTTGTTAACATAAGAACAGTTGGCAGAGCTGTGTACAGTAGTCAGTAACATGGCATTCATTCAGTCTAGTTGAGAATGTAATGTTCTTTTATGCAACGCAGATCCTGATCCTGCACATACAACGTAAACAGCGACAATTTACAAAATAATGTATAAATTCAGCACAAAAATGTGACATGTAAAGCATCAGAGTGAAATGCATTCAGATTTTTAGATTTGTACATGATTGTTCTGTTACATGGAGAAGAAAATGCTGAAAACACAACAAAATAAGTTGAAAATAAATTTCTAAATGATGCTTCACTGGACTGATCACATGTGAAAAAAGGCATATTCCTACAAATAATCTCTAATATCTAGACACTGAAGGAATGTTAAAATGTCAAAAAAGGTGGGTTTTTTTTAAGAATAAAATTGCTCTGGAG